AAAATAAAGGAATAGTATGGCTCTGCAACATATAATAAACAACCCTACAGAGTATGACAGCTTTCTGTCAAATGGTCTATGAGTATTATTGGACAAACAGCGACTATTACTATGTTCTATGGTGCACAATGAGATGGAAAATCAAGACCCTTCTAAGGCCCTTCCCAAAGTTTCTGTAAATCTACTGAAATTTTTGTAAAGACTATAATAAAAATAACAAGAAATGATTGTAACAGGATGCTGTTACGAAGTCTCCCAAACGAAGCTCCCATAATTCGTAATTCCCTAGGTCGTCTGACATTGGGCAAAGTCCAGTGAAAATTGGTTTGGTCTAGTAAAGTTATATGCATTAGTAGTGCCTGGGGACTAACCCTGTATATCATTCAAATCATCTTGGCATGACAAACCAGAATATATATGGTTTAGGGGTGGGGATCTCGACCATTTACAAGATACTAGAACATTGGGGGTGGGGGGAACCCCTGGGGACTGACCCTATACGGCATTCAAATGTTCAAGACATGACGAACAGGAATATATATGGTTTAGGGGTGGGGATCTCGACCATTTACAAGATATTAGAACTTTCTCAAATGGCAGGGGGTCGGGATGACGCCTGGCGACTAACCTTGTATATCATTCAAACCATCTTCTCATGACAAACCAGAATATATATGGTTTAGGGGTGGCGATCTTGACCACTTACAAGATATTAGAACTTTCTTAAATGGCAGGGGTGGGGGTGACCCCTGGGGACTAACCCTGTATTTCATTTGATGTGCTTTATCATGACAAACCAGAATATATATGGTTTAGGGGTGGGGATCTCGACCATTTACAAGATATTAGAACTTTCTCAAATGGCAGGAGGTCGGGATGACCCCTGGGGACTAACCCTGTATATCATTCAAACCATCTTAGCATGACAAACCAGAATATATATGGTTTAGGGGTGGGGATCTTGACCACTTACAAGATATTAGAACTTTCTTAAATGGCAGGGGGTGGGGGTGACCCCTGTTTGACAAACCCTGTATTTCATTTGATGTGCTTCATCATGATAAACCAGAAAATGTATGGTTTAGGGGTGGGGATCTCGACCATTTACAAGATATTAGAACTTTCTCAAATGGCAGGGGGTTGGGATGACCCCTGGGGACTAACCCTGTATATCATTCAAACCATCTTTGCATGACAAACCAGAATATATATGGTTTAGGGGTGGGGATCTTGACCACTTACAAGATATTAGAACTTTCTTAAATGGCAGGGGGTGGGGGTGACCCCTGGGGACTAACCCTGTATTTCATTTGATGTGCTTCATCATGACAAACCAGAATATGTATGGTTTAGGGGTGGGAATCTCGACCATTTACAAGATATTAGAACTTTCTTAAATGGCAGGGGGTGGGGATGACCCCTGGGGACTAACCCTGTATTTCATTTAATGTGCTTTACCATTTAGAACATTTTCAATTAAAAAGATTGTGTCTATCACTAACGGTTTTCAAATTATAATCATTTGAAAATTTTAAAAAATAAAATCCCATTGGGTTCTATAGTAAAACCCTCCTTTCTTTTTGCCCCTCAAAGTACCCCTTTATAAACCCCATTGCACAAACAAAACCCTGATTGCACCACTAGACATGTTAGTCTAACATTTTGTGAAACCCTAAGTTAATCTGACCAGCGGTTTTGGAGAAGGGGTGCGGACAAGTTCAAATTTAAAAGCGGCGGAAGAGGAAGAGGAAGAAGAATAATAATAATAATAAGAACTGAGCAAAACCAATAAGTCTTAATAAATAATAATGAAAAAAATCCTTATTGGGTTTTAAATTGTACAATGTGACAGATGAGGAAATGAAATGAGTGCATATGAAAATATATAGTTAATTAATTGTATATTTGTCTTGACTTAAAAACATCTATCATAAAACAGAAAAATGTATGGTTGTCTGGAATCTCTGACCAACAAATGTAGTCGGTGAAGTATAAAATGTATGTCAAATACAAAATCTGGAAGCATACTTATTTCACAGGTAACCAGATGTATTAGATAAAACAAGGGTAAGGTCTGAAAATTAACAATTATAGTTAGTCTGTTGTAAAAAGTTTGATTCATGTTATCACAAGAGTTTTGTGTTGTTTGAAGGAACGTAATATAAGGAGCAATCAGTACATTGCATTTGTGTTTTTAAGGATGTTAATATAAGAAACAATCAGTACATTGCATTTGTGTTTTTAAGGACGTTAATATAAGAAACAATCAGTACATTCCTGTGAGATGGGTTGAGAAATAAGTTTCTAGGATGGGAAAATGGTCCTGTTAATGATCATCCATACATAAAGCTCACACAGAAACCCAATTTGAATAGAGACACCAAGGGCTTGCATTTATAACCTAGACATAGTAATGACTTCCCATATTGTAAAATAGGCTTTGCAAACAGTAACTTAAGATTATTAAATTTATTTATTTCTAAAAGATCATTTTAAATTAATCAGCAAATTGGATTAAAAAAATGTCTAGAGGAACCAAAACTACAAGTGTGAATCATAATCATCATTATTACTTTAATCTTTTTTTAAATTTAATCTTCTGCTGTGCTTTTTACCAAAACTTGTATACCTTTTTTACCCTTCATGGAGAGGCTTGACCCTTTGTGCCTTTTATAAAATTTGACTGTTTATGATGACGTCCTGATAGTAAATGAATAATGAATAAACTTTCGAATATTTAACTCAACTATCTCTTGTGATATTCAGTGTAATTAAACAAATATATCGTGACCAGGAGGGGTATATGTGAAGTATTCCTGTCTTGAGAAGAATTTTCCTTTTCCTAACTGCTCAGGAAATTTTACCTTTTTTCAACTTTTTTTTTTTTTTTTGCAAATTATTTTCTCCTGAAGATAACATATCAGTTCAATATCTATAGGAACTTAAAAGCATCATATCAGATCATATCTCCTAAATCAGTGGTAATATCTCCTGAAGATGATATATCTGTTCAATATCTATAGGACCTTAGAATCATCATATCAGGTCATATCTCCTAAATCAGTGGTAATATCTCCTCAAGATGACATATCTGTTCAATATCTATAGGACCTTAAAGGCATCATATCAGGTCATATCTCCTAAATCAGTGGTAATATATCCTCAAGATGACATATCTGTTCAATATCTATAGGACCTTAAAAGCATCATATCAGGTCATATCTTCTAAATCAGTGGTAATATCTCCTCAAGATAACAGATCTGTTAAATATCTATAGGACATTAAAAGCATCATATCAGGTCATATCTCCTAAATCAGTGGTAATATCTCCTCAAGATAACAGATCTGTTAAATATCTATAGGACATTAAAAGCATCATATCAGGTCATATCTCCTAAATCAGTGGTAATATCTCCTGAAGATGATATATCTGTTCAATATATATAGGACCTTAAAAGCATCATATCAGGTCATATCTCCTAAATCTGTGGTAATATCTCCTCAAGATAACATATCTGTTCAATATCTATAGGACCTTAAAAGCTGATGATCATATCAGGTCATATCTTCTACATCAGTGGCAATATCTCCTCAAGATGTCATATCTGTTCCATATCTATAGTACCTTAAAAGCATGATATATCAGGTCATATCTCCTAAATCAGTGGTAATATCTCCTGAAGATAACAGATCTGTTCAATATCTATAGGACATTAAAAGCATCATATCAGGTCATATCTCCTAAATCAGTGGTAATATCTCCTCAAGATAACAGATCTGTTCAATATCTATAGGACCTTAGAATCATCATATCAGGTCATATCTCCTAAATCAGTGGTAATATCTCCTCAAGATGACATATCTGTTCAATATCTATAGGACCTTAAAATCATCATATCAGTTTAAATCTCCTAAATCAGTGGTAATATCTCCTCAAGATAACATATCTGTTCAATATATATAGGACCTTAAAAGCATCATATATCAGGTCATATCTCCTAAATCAGTGGTAATATCTCCTCAAGATAACATATCTGTTCAAAATCTATAGGGCCTTAAAAGCATCATATCAGGTCATATCTTCTAAATCAGTGGTAATATCTCCTCAAGATAACATATCTGTTCAATATCTATGGGACATTAAAAGCATCATATCAGGTCATATCTCCTAAATCAGTGGTAATATCTCCTGAAGATGACATATTTGTTCAATATCTATAGGACCTTAAAATCATCATACCAGGTCATATCTCCTAAATCAGTGGTAATATCTCCTCAAGATGATATATCTGTTCAATATCTATAGGACCTTAGAATCATCATATCAGGTCATATCTCCTAAATCAGTGGTAATATCTCCTGAAGATAACAGATCTATTCAATATCTATAGGACATTAAAAGCATCATATCAGGTCATATCACCTAAATCAGTGGTAATATCTCCTCAAGATGATATATCTGTTCAATATCTATAGGACCTTAGAATCATCATATCAGGTCATATCTCCTAAATCAGTGGTAATATCTCCTTAATTGTAGTATCATCTCCTGAACAATTGGCAATTTCTCCTAAATCTGAGGTAACATCTCCTGAATTGTGGTAACATCTCCTTAAACTGTGGTAATATCTCCTAAATTGTGGAAATACCTCCTTAAGAAGTGCAATATGTCCTTAATCTTTATAGTAATCGGACTATTACAATATTTTGTTTTAGTAAACCAAACAAAGAAATACAAATATACACCAGCCTAAATATGTTAAAGGTATAGTTAATCTTGCTCAGTGATTCAAGTGGAGATCTTTTATTTATTTACAGATGATTTCCATCGGAGAACATACCCTGACTTATAATAACAGTCAATAGATCATCCTAGTCTACTTAACTTTTTACTGAAAGACAAAAAAAACTTTAAAATAAAGCTTTGCTTGGTCCATACAGAATGTTATATATTTGTATGTAAATAAAACTTCAGTAACAGTGACACAAAAATACTTACAGAATCAATGCTTTATCCCAACCATATAGTTCCAACTTCCAATAGCTGAAAAAATTATTTAAACTGACATGAACAAAAGCAATAAATGAAGCATCATTCTGAGGTTACTGCTCTTATAAAATCTCAGTTTATAAACATATGATATAGTTTGAGAGCACTGACCACTAGAGTTTTGTAAACAGATGTCAGATCATCATGATTTACACCAAAGAAAGTCAAATAATCCTACTTATTTCTCTTATAAACATATTTCTACTGAAAATAAATATCTAAGTGGTATCACAGACCATTACGTCACAGAACACTAATAAACTGGCTTATTTTTCATATTGGTTATAAAACAGGCTTATTTTACATATGGTCTGTAAAACTGGCTTAATTTTCATATTGTCTATGAAGCAGGCTTATTTTTCATATTGTCTATAAATCTGGCCTGTTTTTCATTTTGTTTATAAAAATAGAATCAAATAATAACACTCATATAGATTCTTTTTCATAATATTTAAAATAGGCATCCTATACAAGTTATTTTCAGTCTTACTAAAATAAATGTCTCTAAATGGAACTTGTTATTTTTTCAGTGGTTTGTTTCATATTAACTATGATAATATTATACATGTTAACATGCTGAGAAATATATAGAAAGTACATATATAGAAATACCGGTATATTATAAACAGTCTGCTATCAAATGGTAAATGTAGATCGTAGAGTTACCTCAAATAACGAGGTATGTATATATAAAAGACTAAAAAATTTTGTGAATACCACAATAACAATGTCATTCTTTACCAAGCATGAAAAGCATGAACTGTACAAATATTCTATCTCCAAGCCACAATTAAGCCTTCAATGCAAGGCAACACAAGACAAAAGCTATATTTTGTAGATAGCCTAAATGGTAGAATTGTCTATGGCACTGAAAATGGTTCAAGCAAAGACTTGAGTTCAAATCCAACCGAGAGAACAATATAGATTTCCAAGAGCAAAAAAACAGTTCTAACATTGTTTTGCTAATTCAACTTTCAAAAAATATATTACAATATTTTATGTGGCACTCAAATTCAACAAACTGCATTAAAACTGGGCCTTTTTGATAAACTAATTCTGACTTACATTTTCCAATGGAGAGCTTTACAACTTTCTACTGCATCACATTTATTAATTTCCCTAGATTATAACAAATTTATATATAAATTGTATAATAAGGATTATATCAATAAGGATTATATCTTCAATGAGATTAAGAACTAGAGGCTCTAAAGAGCCTGTGTCGCTCACCTTGGTCTATGTGAATATTAAACAAAGGACGCAGATGGATTCATGACAAAATTGTGTTTTGGTGATGGTGATGTGTTTGTACATCTTAATTTACTGAACATTTTTCCTGCTTACAATTATCTCTATCTATAATTAACTTGGCCCAGTAGTTTCAGAGGAGAAGATTTTTGTAAAAGATTACTAAGATTTACGAAAAAATGGTTAAAAATTGACTATAAAGGGCAATTACTCCTAAAGGGGTCAACTGACAATTTCGGTCATGTTGACTTATTTGTAGATCTTACTTTGCCGACATTTATTGTTTTTTACAGTTTATCTCTATCTATAATAATATTCAAGATAATAACCAAAAACAGCAAAATAACCTTAAAATTACCAATTCAGGGGCAGCAACCCAACAACGGGTTGTCCGATTCATCTGAAAATTTCAGGGCAGATAGATCTTGACCTGATAAACAATTTTACTTCATGTCAGATTTGCTTTAAATGCTTTGGTTTTTGAGTTAAAAGCCAAAAACTGAATTTTACCCCTATGTTCTATTTTTAGCCGTGGCGGCCATCTTGGTTGGTTGACCAGGTCACGCCACACATTTTCAAAACTAGATAACCAAATGATGATTGTGGCCAAGTTTGGTTTAATTTGGCCCAGTTGTTTCAGAGGAGAAGATTTTTGTAAAAGATTACTAAGATTTACGAAAAATGGTTAAAAATTGACTATAAAGGGCAATTACTCCTAAAGGGGTCAACTGACCATTTCGGTTATATTGACTTATTTGTAAATCTTACTTTGCTGAACATTATTGCTGTTTACAGTTTATCTCTATCTATAATAATATTCAAGATAATAACCAAAAACAGCAAAATTTCCTTAAAATTTCTAATTCAGGGGCAGCAACCCAATAACGGGTTGTCCGATTCATCTGAAAATTTCAGGGCAGATAGATCTTGACCTGATTAACAATTTTACTTCATGTCAGATTTGCTTTAAATGCTTTGGTTTTTGAGTTAAAAGCCAAAAACTGAATTTTACCCCTATGTTCTATTTTTAGCCGTGGCGGCCATCTTGGTTGGTTGACCAGGTCACGCCACACATTTTTAAAACTAGATAACCAAATGATGATTGTGGCCAAGTTTGGTTTAATTTGGCCACGGAGTTTCAGAAGAGAAGATTTTTGTAAAAGATTACTAAGATTTACGAAAAATTGTTAAAAATTGACTATAAAGGGCAATAACTCCTAAAGGGGTCAACTGACCATTTCAGTCATGTTGACTTATTTGTTAATCTTACTTTGCTGAACATTATTGCTGTTTACAGTTTATCTCTATCTATAATAATATTCAAGATAATAACCAAAAACAGCAAAATTTCCTTAAAATTACCAATTCAGGGGCAGCAACCCAACAACAGGTTGTTCGATTCATCTGAAAATTTCAGGGCAGATAGATCTTGACCTGATAAACAATTTTACTTCGTGTCAGATTTGCTCTAAATGCTTTGGTTTTTGAGTTATAAGCCAAAAACTGCATTTTACCCCTATGTTTTATTTTAGCTGTGGCGGCCATCTTGGTTGGTTGGCCGGGTCACGCCACACATTTTTAAAACTAGATACCCCAATGATGATTGTGGCCAAGTTTGGTTTAATTTGGCCCAGTTGTTTCAGAGGAGAAGATTTTTGTAAAAGATTACTAAGATTTACGAAAAATGGTTAAAAATTGACTATAAAGGGCAATTACTCCTAAAGGGGTCAACTGACCATTTCAGTTATATTGACTTATTTGTAAATCTTACTTTGCTGAACATTATTGCTGTTTACAGTTTATCTCTATCTATAATAATATTCAAGATAATAACCAAAAACAGCAAAATTTCCTTAAAATTACCAATTCAGGGGCAGCAACCCAATAACGGGTTGTATGATTCATCTGAAAATTTCAGGGCAGATAGATCTTGACCTGATGAACAATTTTACCCCATGTCAGATTTGCTCTTAATGCTTTGGTTTTTGAGTTATAAGCTAAAAACTGCATTTTACCCCTATGTTCTATTTTTAGCCGTGGTGGCCATCTTGGTTGGTTGACCGGGTCACGCCACACATTTTTAAAACTAGATACCCCAATGATGATTGTGGCCAAGTTTGGTTAAATTTGGCCCAGTAGTTTCAGAGGAGAAGATTTTTGTAAAAGTTTACGGACGACGGACGACGGACGCAGGACGACGGACGACGGACGCAAAGTGATGAGAAAAGCTCACTTGACCTTTCAGGTCAGGTGAGCTAAAAATTTGGAACATCCAATTTCTTTAATGGGAGATAACCCTTGAAAGTGTTAGATTTACAGATTTCAATAACATATGAAAGCCCTACACCTATATTGGTATAAAATTTATCCTTTTGCTACTTCAATTTTTCTTATTTCTGACTCCACAGTAGGCAGGAGCCTAGCTGAATCAAATTCTGGTATCAATAGTCCATCTGTTATGAAATGGTTCTACTTATAAAATAAAATTTATCTTTTACCATTATTTATGGATACCTCCATTAAAATTATGCATTTTCATATAAATTACTTTAGAGACAAAGTACAGAAACATTCTGGATATATTTAATGATGATAACCTTCTGGTGTAAAGTGCTGATGAAACATGACAGACTTATACTAATCCATGACGAGGATAAGCCATTGCTTGGTTAACCAGCAACAGTTTAATGAGACTGACTAACAACTCTACAGACTGATTATTGCTCTGTTCTTACAATCAGCAGGATTAATGTATCGTAGCAGTTCACTGGAGTGTTCAGTTTTCTTAAGAGTTTTAACCTTCCTCTATTTATTTTGTTTTCAATAAAGTGCAGATGTAATTCAATTAAGAGGACATTTGTTTCTAATTAAGCAAAGTATCACCTACTGATAACTCAAAATATTTCATATAACAAACATAGTACTGAACATAAAGTTTTAAGTTAAGTAATTTTAACTGTAAATTGTCAGTTTTCCTACCGAAGGTCAGTGATTTTCTCTGGGCACTCCGGCTTCCTCCACCAACAAAAACTGACCGCCACGAGATAGCACAATAGTGTTGAAAGTGGCATTAAACACCAATCAATCAATCAATCAATCAAATTTCGCCCAACAATGTTAGATCTTCAAATTTGGTAACACAAATTTTTGTGTCTTCTCTCAGCAGGATTTGAACCCTTGCTTCTGTGACATCGTAGCAATACCGCCTGCACCATGTCCAGTGCCCTGGACCACTCGACCACCTAGGCTACATTAAAATATAGCTTTCGGTGATCGATGTAATGCCTTTCCTCGTTGGCTTTATCTAGGGTTGTAACACAGTACATGATGTATAGTAGCAAGTAGATGGTGTACCTTTCAGATCAGCTATTTTGTCTGTCGTAAAGGATGATAATGTTAATTACCATGCCGCCACATCAAATTTTAATTTTATTATACTGGCCTAAACATATGACAACTTTATGACAGACATTCTCCATATATATAACTCCTATAAGCAATTTATTGGCAATTTCAGTAATGTTTGACTTATTAGCAGGTCTTTTTTATTATTAATATTTTTGCAGAAAAGAGTTTCTCTCTATCAATTATAGCTTTTAAGAAAATTGCAAAAATGCAAATTAATAGGTGAAAATTATCTTTCAAGTCACAATGATTTGCTCCTTTAGTATCTTCCTTTTTTGTTCATTTTAATATTTATATAAAGACTATGTAGATGTCCCATCATTTACTAAACAACTGTTAATACATTAAAACATTTTAATTTTACATGTATTTTGTTGTTA